TAATCGATATGTAGTAATAATTTGAATGGGATTTGATAACAATTGGTTGAAAACTTTCTTTTCACAAAAGTAATCTATGGTCTGAGTGTTTAAAATTGATTCACTGAATAAACTTCGTCGCGAAAGCAAGAATTTATTTAAAAGTAGTTTTGCCACGAAAGTGGGAAATTAATTAAGATACGAACCAACAAGCGAAAGCTGCGGTAAGGTCAGATAGTAAACACTAGGCATTTGTTTTAATAACAGCGAAAGCACTTTAAAACGAATTAGAACTTAGAGATTTCCAAAAAATAATTTTAACCCCGAACGGAATACGAAAAATGTACGTTTGGCCCTTAGGATTATGATTAGCGTCAACAACCATCGTGAGGCGAGAGTTTTCAAATCTCCATTTTCTTCTTGAATAAACTTTGAAGATTATTTCATACACCATAACTTATCAAATCCCTGAAGAACACAATTACTACGTATCGATTTAATCAATTATAATCTAAATAGTATCATTAGTTCCCTTTTAGTGACAATCTTATCCCCTTAAACATATTCTACCTAGCTAAACATAGTAACTCCCGAGAACACTAGTTTGATTACGAGTCCCTGTGGGATCGATATCTATTATTACTACGCGATAGACTGTGCACTTGCAGTTAGTTGTATTAGACATAGAAAGTCGCGATCATAAGCTCACCCCCTCTCTCAGAGGATTTGAACCTAAACAACCAGATTCATCTATTCCATATGATGCTATCATTCCTGAACCAACGCCAACACCTAAACCAAACCCATCAGCTTTTGTTCCATGTTTTGATAATCCAAGAACTGTCATTCCATCCATACGCAGAATAAAACCCTTTTTTCATCTCATACCTGCTCAGAAGACACCACCTTATCCTCGTCCTCTGTTCATCATCCCAAAATTTACCATACCACCCTCTCCAGTTCAATCCAAACCATCCATTCTGGAAGCCTTTCTTAAACCTAAACCAAGGCTAAATGTTGATATTTTATTTGCTAATTTTATGAAAGAAATAAGGATGAATTTAGACTCTGTGAAGAAGAGATGCCTTTCAACCATGAACTCAGATGAATCTGATGTTATTTAGAATAGCTTCATGTCCAGATTCAACACTGTTGCTTCAAATCTGAAGAATGTTTGCTCTGATGATGCGAAGATCAGATTTGCTGAGACTTCCAGAACCATGCTATGGAATCTGAAAAGATCTCCAACTTTGCTTCTTGAAGATACACCTTCAACCTCTGGAGTGTCTGCTACTATTGAAGGATCTGCGTCTGAAGTCATTCTGGAAGAGAATTCTTTAGCTCTGACGATTGTGGACAAAAAATCTGCATATGTGGCTTCAGACTTTGCAACTCCAATGGAAATTGACTCTGCTCCTACTCCTGCATCAGAATCTGCTCCGTCTACTTCTTCTGAGATCAAGAAAGAGAACCCAGAATTAGAAGATAAGATTGATGTGCTGGAAGCTGGTCAATCTGAGATTAAGTCCTGGATGGCAAGGCAAGATCAGAAAACTGAGAACATTGAGAAGTGGATGTCAAAGCAAGAAGAATCTTCATCTGAGATCACCCACCTTCTGAAGATGCTTCTTTCCAAACAATCCTAGATTTATATTTTCTTTATTTGATGTTTGAGCACTTATTTTGAATTTATCATATGATGTTTTGTCTGTTCTATCTGACTATTTGAATGAATGAATGAATCTGAATGTTTTCTCTATATGATTGTCTCTTTTCTCTCTGTATCCTTTTACTTGTCTTTAAAAGTTTTCTTTTTGATTATGACAAAAGGGGAAGAAAATGAAATTCTGACTGTTCAAATAAACTTTACCTGAATGGAACTCAGACATATCAAATTAACTAACATGAATTTTTAGTATTTCAGAACTATAATGATAAATCAGACAAAATTCATTAAAGTAACTCTGAGATCCCTAGATCAAGTTTTAATCAATCCGGCTCTAATTCTGAAACGTTCATCCAAATCAAGCTCTAATTTTGAACTTTCAGGCTCTGGTTCTGAAAAGAATACTCATGTAAAAAAGGGAAGTTTCTATTCTTTCTTAGTATTCAATTCAGGGGGAGATTCATAATCTCAGGGGGAGTTATATTTATCTCTTTATTGAAAAAATTTCCTATGTTTTTGTCATCATAAAAAAGGGGGAGATTGTTAGAACACAGATTGGTTCTTAGTTATATCTCTATGTTTTGATGATAACACTTATGAAATTTTGTATTAAGAAATTATATACTCTAAATTTGTTCAAGTATTTTTGCTGCAGATACTTCATTTAATATTCTTCTGAAAGCAAAAATAGATATGAACGTTGAACTACGCAAGGCTCTGAAGCGTCAGAAGCATCTCTCAGAAGAATCTAAGCGCTGCCTACAGAAGAATCTGAAGCATAAGCTACAAAAGCCTCTGAAGCGTAGACTGAAGACTTTGTATGAAGAGTTTCAAGCACTGTTTTTCAGAAGACTCTGATAGTACTGTTTGCTGCAAGTACTGAAGATCTGATCTCCAAACTATACTATGATTAATTACATGCTGAAGTACACTTGCTGCAACACTCTGATACAACAAACTCTGAAGACATCAAGACTCTGATCACTCAAGGCTCTGATGTTAATTGTTGTGAATTAGAAACTTGTTGAAGAAGATTATTTGAAGTTATCCGTTGGTTATGCCAAACGACTCTTTCCTCTTTTATGCTAGACACAAGAACTCAGGCAAAAAGGATTTCTCTGAACGTTCTAATTCTAGGAAAGGTCAAGTTATATGAAGACAAAAGGCTACATCTACTTTGCAGTACACGGTCTTTAAGCTTGCAACATCTTGGACTTCTAAGTCTATAAAAGCAAGCCTTCAACAACTTTCTTCAGTTGACGAAAATTGAACAATTCATTGAAAACTCTCTCAAAGCTCTTATACAAATTATTATTCTTTGCTAAATAGTTTTCATACGTTCTTAAACTTAAGTGTAAATCACAGTTGTGATACAACTTTATTAGAAGCATTTCAAACACTTGTTTAGTTTACAATTGATTGTAAAAGTTCCTTGAGAAGACCAAGTTGTGGTCAGTAGTTCTTGAGAAGACTAAGACAATTGTTCTTAGTGGTTGTTATTGTAATCAGTTTGATTATAGTGGATTAAGTCCTTGAAGAGAAAGACAAATCACTCTTGATAGGGTGGACTGGAGTAGTTGAGTTCAACGAACCAGGATAAAAATCATTGTGTTTTTATTGTCATAATATTTTCTAAATCCTTATTCAACCCCCCCTTCTAAGTATTTTCTCACCTTCAAGACCCTCAACCACTAACAGAAAGAGGAAAATGCTAAAGGATCTCCTTGTTTCAAACTCCTTTAGATCTTAATCTCTTGAGTTTGGGAGCCATTAACTAACACACAAAGATTACTAGCAAAGACACACGCTTTAATCCAGGACCTCCACATATTATTAAAGCCAAATCTAATAAGTATCTAATATGAAAGCTCCATATAAATGGATCATAGGGTTTCTCAAAATTGACTTTGAAAATAAGATACGCCTTTCTAGAATGCTTAGTCAAATTTAACATCTCTTTCATAGGCACCACTCCATCAACCAATATTTTTCTTTTCATAAAAGCTAACAGGGCAGGATAAATAAGTTTTTCCGTAATCAACCCAAGTCTCTTGACCAAAACTTTGACTACTAATTTGTATAGGGATCCAACAAACGAAATAGGCTGGAAGTCACTCAGAAGATATGGTTTTTAATCTTGGGAATCAAAGTCACAAAATAAGAGGCAAAGCTCGGAGTAAGCGATGCAAGTTTCAAATCTTCCCTTAACAAGTTTCAAATTTACTAAAAAAGAGAGAAAGTGAACATATCAAGATTAGAGCTCTTATTCTCATCACGCTAAGTTGCAGGCTTGCAGTCTTATATAACTCCTTAAGGAGAAAAAGAGTTGTTAATGCGAATTTATCCTCAAATGAAAATGAATGGTAGGAAACTATCCAACTAGACTAACGAACATTCATCCTTCTAAACAAATTTGTAAAATAATTCAGAACCTCTTGCTGAGCTGAGAAAACATTTCTCTTACTTCTATTTTTCAATGAGCTTTTATAAACTTTTGATGCAGTCTCTCTAAATTCTTCTCTTTTTAAATTTTATGAATTGTTTTATTTGTATTACATATCTCTCTTCATTTCTTTCATTCTTGTATCTTGTTCAAAAGTTAAAGATTTTATAAATTAATAATATATTTTGAATATCACTACTTACTTTTAGCTCTTATATTTAAAATAAGTTTGTATATATTAGATCAAATCATCGTCAAAATCTAGAAAACTCAAATAAATCGAAAGTATACCAAACAAGAGTAATCTAATTTAGTTTTCTATTAATTATGGAGACATTTGATCGGAATATATCACTTGTATTAAAAATATATATAAAATTATTTATTTACAATAATGACAAAAATAAAACTAAATAATCAATATCTTTCCAAACTACAATGATTAGTAGAAGCACCTAAATAATAAAAATTAGTGTCAAAAATATATATTTTTAGATGTTATCAAATTGAAAAAAATAAATTTTGTCCCTATCCACCCACCGCCAACTTCCTCTTCATTCTCCAATTTCAAAACTCTCAAAACTCTCTTCCGCTAAAAGTGATCTCTATATCTCAATCTTATCTGCCCCACCACGCAACGCAGCTATCTTAAAAGTCAAGTAAGAATATCTCACTCGGAAAAGCCAACTTAACCAATCTAATTTTCATCACAAACACAACACTTCTTGAGTTATTTCTAATGAATTATAAAAAAAAAATTAAAATTTAAAAGCAAAACCCACTTCACACGCACTTCAAAAAACCTTCCAATAATCTTCTTCCGTTTTTCATTCATAATTAAATAAATTCAAAACCCTTCCTTTTCTTTTCATTTTACCAATGTTACCTCCATAACCTTCACCACCAACCGCCATGCCTCTCCACCACATTCCTTCTCCGTTCGGAGATCCGCCGCCGAATTTACCATCATCGGACCTCCGTGAAACCGCCTACGAGATCCTCTTAGCCGCGTGCAGGAGCTCAGGTCCGAAGCCGTTGACATTCATTTCGCAGTCGGAGAAGGGAGTTAGGGATCCGGCTGATCCGGCTCCGGTGGCTTCGCTGCACCGGTCGCGGACTTCTATTGCGGCTAGTAAGGTGAAGAAGGCGTTGGGACTCAAATCTTCTTCGTTGAAGAGTAAGCGTCCGGTGACGACTGGGGAAGTTGTGAGACTGCAGATGAGAATCTCTGAACAGAGTGATAGTAGGATTCGAAGAGCGCTTCTCAGAATTGCGGCTGCACAGGTTTCGATTTTGTTCTTTCCTTTTAATTTAGAAGCTTATTCAATTTTTGTTTGAATATCGTTAAGTATATAAGTGAAGAATCATAAGTTGATTTTAATTGAAAAGTACTTATAAACTAGAAGCTTTTGCTTTGGTGTGAATTATTTACAAAATTTAAGTAGATATGAAAGTAATTCATACATGAATATTGAATAAAGTGAGTTTTGAATCCAAGTAATCAAAAGTTCTATTGGTTTTTGCTGAAGTACTTGAAACTTGTTGAGGTTTTTCAAATGAGACTTTACACTATTCTAGAGCTGATATTGGACTTCCACTAGTTGACCTCTGTTGACCTCTGTTGACTTCTGTTGACTATTGTGATATGTTGAAATTTGGATGAAGTGTTATGCTTGTTCCCAATCCCAAGTAATATCATTATTTGCTTTTCATAGCTTTAGCTTTGTGCTAAACATGATGAAGAAGTCTTGAATTGAAGGCAATTGTTTGTGGTTGCTTAATTGGAGGGAGATCTCCATTCAGCTGCTGTTTCTTTTTCTGTTTTGAAGTAAAATCATTTTCTAAGCAAATTTGACAATGTTTTACAGCCTATTCTGCATCTCTGTAGCACCGAAACCTTTGAAAAAATGTGCATCAGTGTCGGTGTCCGAAACCGACACCAACACTCGTGATTATGTTTAATTTATTCATTTTTTCAAATTATTACCAGTGTCGGTGTCGAGTTTCTAGTGTTCGTGCTACATAGTTTTGCATTACAATGTCAGTGTCCGAGCTACCAAATCACAATGTAACCATAACTACAATTTAAAACATGTTTTCTCAACAAACAAAAAAAATGCATGAAGCAAATGAACATTAATTGTTGGCACTTTTATGTGCACATCATCAGATACATGTCTTCTTTCTTTGGATAGGCAAATGTTAGTTTTGTCGATAAATTGGTAACTCGTGTTAGTTCTCAGGGTTTGATCTTTGACCTTCTGATTAGTATTTCTTCGGTGTCCCTCAGCTCATCGATTACATCTTATGAATGTTTAGAATAGATAATATGTATTTCACTTTCTTTTATTGCTTGTTTGTTGAACATTAAGTTGGATAAATTTCCTACCGCTGGAAAAGATTACACTTCATTTCATTCCTTTATGATTGCCATTAAAAAATGTGGACCAAAATCTAAAATTTTAACCTGTTTGTTTGTCTCCTTACATATGATTAATCACTAATAATAGCTTACTAGGTCTTTGTTCATGAAATTAAAATAGCTTGGAAAACGCATGGAGTCGGTGGTTCTTCCGTTAGAACTTATACAATTGTTCAAGAGTTCAGATTTTCCTGATCAACAAGAGTATGAAGCTTGGTTGAGAAGAAATTTGAAGGTTCTTGAAGCCGGGCTCCTCTTGCATCCTCGCCTTCCATTAGATAAGGCAGACACCTCTGCACAGAAACTCCGGCGCATAATTGGTGGAGCCATTGAGAAACCTATAAATTTTACAAGTAGTGGTGAATCAATGCAAACCCTCCGAAGTGTTGTTATATCTCTTTCTTGCAGATCATCTGACGGGTCTGTTCCTGAGTCATGTCATTGGGCGGACGGGTTTCCACTGAACCTTTGGATCTACCAAACTCTTTTAGAAGCTTGTTTTGATGGTCACATTGAAACCTGTGTGATAGACGAGGTTGATGAGGTCTTAGAGCTCATTAAGAAGACCTGGCTTATTCTTGGAATCAATGAAACCCTACATAATATCTGTTTCACATGGGTATTATTTCATAGATACGTCGTCACTCGTGAAGTAGAAAATGATCTGCTTTTTGCATCCTGTAATCTACTGGAGGAAGTTGAGAAAGATACCAAGGCCATGAAAGATCCTTCTTACTCAAAAACTTTGAGCTCCACATTGAATATGATGTTGGGTTGGGCAGAGAAAAGGCTCCTTGCCTACCACGATACTTTCCATAGTGGTAATATTGAATCCATGGAAAGTGTTGTATCTCTTGCTGCTCTATCAGCAAAGATACTGGCAAAAGATATCTCTAATGAGTATAATCGGAAGAAGAACCCCGCCGATGTAGCCTGCACCAGAGTTGAAAATTATATTAGATCATCATTGCATGCTGTTTTCATTCAGGCAAGTTCTATCACTCAAAGCTTCCTTTCAGATGGTACATACTATTATTATTATGACATTTGTATACTGTATACGTTTGATACCATTGACCAAAATAGTATAAAAGTGGTTGTTTGCTCTATTATGGTGCTAATTACCTAATTTTGATGCAATTCGTATGGCTTAACTCTCTAATCTCTTCTAAGGCAGAAAGTGGAGAAAGTTGACCCCAGAAAGCATCCATCTAGAAAACAGAACAAACCTTTTCCAATTCTTTCTGTCCTCGCACGAGACATTACTGAACTGGCTTTTGAGGAGAAAGACATATTTAGTCCTAAATTAAAGAGATGGCATCCTCTTGCTGCTGGTGTTGCGGTTGCTACCCTTCATGTGTGTTATGGAAATGAGTTGAAGAAATACGTTAAAGGTATCACCGAGTTGACACCTGATGCTATAGAAGTGTTGATGGCTGCCGACAAGTTGGAGAAAGAGCTGGTGCAGATAGCAGTGGAAGATTCTGTTGATAGTGAAGATGGTGGGAAATCCATTATAATGGAGATCCAACCTTATGAGGCTGAAGCTATAATTGCTACTCTTGTTAAGTCATGGATAAATATCAGAGTGGATAGACTGGTGGAATTGGTTAACAGAATTATGCATCAAGAGGTATGTCAAATCCTTTCTCTTTTTATTTTTTTTCCCTTTATGATGATTTCAAATATTGTTAGATACGACTATTACTATGTTATTACAGCACAAGATCGTGGTTGTTGGCAAGTTTAAGGTTTTAAAATAATTTTTAACTTTCCCCATCCTTTGCTACAGGCATGGAATCCACAGGAAAATAAAGAAGGCTTTGCGCCTTCTGCAGTTCAAGTTCTACGTTTCATAGATGACACTGTGGAAGCTTTCTTCCTGTTGCCTATATCCATGCACACAGCTTTACTTCCTGAATTGATATCTGGTCTTGACAAATCTATCCAACAATACATTTTGAAAGCAAAATCCGCCTGTGGTATATATTCCATGCTTTAGTTATCATTTGATTTACCAGATTGAGTTATTCAATCTTTGTGTGACTAGGTTTTTCCCTTCTTATGGTCTGCAGGGAACCGTAATACGTTCATGCCGACTTTGCCTGATTTGACCAGGTGTTCCACAAAAGGAAAATATCACGGTGTATTCCGTAAAAAAGAAAAGCCACAAATGACTCAGAGGAGGAAAGCCCTTGTTAGAACCACGAGTGAACATAGCTCGTTCGATATACCCCACCTGTGTGTTCGCATTAATACTATGCAGCGTATTCGCATGGAATTAGGGGTCCTGGAAAAGAGGATAGTTGCCAATCTTAGCAGCTCTAATTCCGTCAATGAGGATAATATAGCAAACGGGGCGAGCTTCAAGTTTTCTGCAGTTGCTGCAGTGGAAGGTATTTGTCAACTCTGCGAATGTATAGCATACAAAGCTATTTTCGAAGATCTCTGTCACGTTCTTTGGGACAGCCTATATGTTGGAGAAGTTTCATCAGCCAGGATTGAGCCTTTTCTTCACGAGCTTGAGCAATACTTAGAGATCATATCATCAACAGTACATGATAAAGTTAGAACACGAGTAATTATTGAAGTAATGCGGGCTTCTTTTGATGGGTTCCTGTTAGTTTTGTTGGCTGGAGGTTCATCTCGTGCTTTCTCTTTGCAAGATTCTATTGTAATAGAGGAAGATTTCAAGCTTCTGAGTGACTTGTTCTGGTCAAATGGGGACGGCTTGCCGGCCGAATTAATCGAAAAACATTCTGCAACCATTCGAGGTGTACTCCCCTTATTTCACACGGATACACAACAGATAATTCAGCAATTTATCCAACTTACTAAAGAAATGTATGGTTCTTCGACTAAATCGCGGCTTCCATTGCCTCCAAAAGCAGATCAGTGGAGGCCAAGAGAACCAGACACACTTCTGCGAGTGTTATGTTACAGGAATGATGAAGCAGCAGCCAAGTTCCTTAAGAAGAATTACAATTTTCCTACAAAAGTCTAACAAATTGATAACTAACCCCTTTGATATTTCACACCTTGCCACCTTATATATATGGTGCTTTAGGAAATTTCTTCTGCTCTGAAATTTCCACAACTGAAGCATGATACCTCAATCAGTGGTTTGGTTAACTTTAGGAAATATATGGTGCTTTATATTCAATAATGCTTAACACTATCTTTGTACAGGTATGTGATGATTCTTTGCTTGCTAATTTGTTGGCTTCTTACTGTTTCCAGTGTTGTGATGATTCGAATGCAGAGAATATTATTTTTCTAATTTCAAACTGATTTGTAAGGCACTGTAATTTATTTGTTTTTCTACGGCAAGTCGAGTTTGGCCATATAAATCTAATTAAATTATTTATTTTGTGCAAGTTACATACAGAAATAGATATCAGTTATGAAAACCTTTTTGTGCAAGTTATTTATGACACTTTTTGTTAAAACCTTTTTGTGCAAGTTACATACAGAAATTATTTATTGACCAATCTTAATAATTTATGGTGTCAGGTTTTCATAAGTAAGTAGGCATCAAACGATTTCAGTGAAAGGATGGTACTTTTTAAAAAAAAAATGAAATTCAATGACTAATCCTAATAATTTATGGTGTCAGGTTCTTATTAGTAAGTATGGAGAGTATAATTTGCAACGTGATTGATTCCTCGTTATGGAAATCTTAAGCGAATGATTAAGATGATTTCAAAAAAAAAATATTAATTTAAAGCTTAGAGATAAAATGATAGTCAATTTTTGCATTGATCGTTGAATTTCAACTGAGCAACCTCTCCTGTCAATAACAAGGGGAAGTGAAACCTTTATTGGTTTCAAAACTAGTTCATTTTTGAGATGGTTAACCGAATCATTTATATTCTTCCTCCTCTTATTCTTGAAGATGGTGCAAACAAGCTAGGGTGAGGTGCTAATAGAGATAATGAATTTTCTATTAACAATGTTTATAGATGTATTTTGTTTTCTCTAATTGTTATTAATACTAATGTCGACTAAAATATCATTTAGAAGTCGAAGGACCCTTATCAAATTAGACATCCACTTGGCTTAAAATACATGGGAGATTTTTTGACAAATTAAAAGTGTCATAAGTGGAACACGACAAACTGATAATATCTGGTAAGAGTATCGATGAACGGACATTGAAGAGATCTTAATTCACGTGTTGTGGGATTGCCCCTATATAACACATGTGTTGATTAGACTTGTTTCTTCTTTTACTGTTTTTATTGGAGATTGTATCTTGTACTATCTCATAGAAGATAATTCAAATTTTCAAAAAGCACACTAGAGGTCTATTTTTATGATCTTTTGTTGGTACTTGTGGAATGGAGAAATAAGACTATTCTTTAAGAGGATTTTCAACATCTTGACAATCTAACAGAAACAATCATGCAATTCGTGAAAGAGATAGAGAACGAAAATTATATGGAGAAAATAATTGAGTTGTTGTTCCTTTTAATTGGTTGCACCTACGGGTGGCAAAGTGGACGGTTCGTCCCGTTTAGATCCGCCTCATTTAAATCCGTTTAAAAGTGGGGCGAAGGTGGGCGGGCCAACTTAAGCGTCCAAGTTTAAAAGTTAGGTCCGTCCCGTTTACTAATGAGTTGGCGAGTTGGTGGGGCAGCCCGCTAATTTTTTATTTTTTATTTTACAATTTAATTTATTATATAATTCAAAAAAAATATTTATTATCAAAGAGATTGACAAAAGATTTTTTTAATAACGCATAATAGAACTTCAACATGTCTTAAGTCCAAACAATTTAAAAAATAAAATAAATAAGGATCAATTACAAAGATAAAAAATAATGAAATAAACTCAAGCACGGTAAAAAAAAAGTATCAAAATAAATAAATAATACATATCATCTTAATCTTATTTAAAATCTAACTACTAAAAGAACCCAATTAAAAGTTTACAAAAGACAAACAATGATAATAATTACACTGCATAAAACATCACAGTGCAAAAAATAGTAGTGCATAAAATATCAACATTTGATTTTCTCACTCTTTACATTATATAGACTTTTATTTTGACTGATTCCTTAATAGTTAGATCTTAAATTTGTCACATGTATACACTAATCAAATCCTTCCTTTTCTTAAAATCAACCTCTATTTCTAAAAAAAAACATGTGAACTAATGTTTGACAACTTAATAATTCAGCATGCCATACAATTGTTCTTTTATTTCAAGTTTTTCTAATCAAAACATGTATTAGAAAGTTATAGACAAAACGTTACAATTATAATTCAATTTGTTTGTATAATAATTTATAATACAATTCAATCAACATAATCCTAAGAAAAGAGTGTTACTTTTATAGTTAAAGTTGTTTTAATTCTAAGTAAGAAAATTAAAAGGTTTTAACAAAAAGCCCGTGGAAAAAACCCACCCACCCCGGCCCGACCCGACCCGCTTTTCAAGTGGGTTAGGTGGGGCGGGCCAACTTAAAGTACCGAGCTGAAAACCTCAATTCAGTCTGCCAAAAATGACGGGTCAAATGGGCCAACACGGCGGGCTCAATCCGTTTTGCCACCCCTAGCTGCACTATACAAAACAACATAGATTGTACAAGATATTTTGGTAAATAAATGACACATGTGGGACACGATGTTTCAGCATGTGTTCAACATCTGACCCTTGTCAACGAGTCAATGTTGTTGATGTTCTGAGTGAATTTTCTGGATATGTTCAACAAGATTTGTTTCTATATTTTAAAAATGTGATTGAATGAAGTCAAATCCATTTAATTGGAGATTTAAATTAAAATTAAAAAAATTAAATCTTTTGTTGGAGGTTTATGAAAAAATGAATCAAAACATAATCCTCTACCAATTTGGACGCGATCTCAAATTTTATGCTCATTGGAGAAAATCTTTTCATCTAAGATATTTTGTACTTATTCTATTGAGAGTGGAATTCCTTTATTGAGTTGGAAGCCCCCTAAACGTAGGTGGGGTTGCAACGAACTAGGTTACCAATTCTCTTGTGTTCTTTAATTGTTTTATGTTAAATCATCTTGTTTTCCCATTATCTATCAAATTATGGTTTAAGATATTGAACACATTGGCTTAGGCATCTGGTCCAACATCTGTCCCCATATAACCGAATTTCAATTGGAATCAAAGTAGGAACCTAGTTCTGTTTAGGTGAGCTCCACAGAGAGTATTTTCTATTCAACTAGACAACACTAATGATGGATGATCAGTCAATAGACCATTTGTCTTGGATGACACCAACTACGATTATTGGAAAGCCAAGATGATTATTTTTCTCAAATACATGGACAACAAACCATGGAAGGCTGTTATAAAAGGTTGAAAACACCCTGTGATTACCTCTCAAAGATGAAACATTAATCTTAAATCTTAAAGTTGATTGGACTAATGTTGAAGATGATGAAGCTCTTGAAAACTCCAAATCCTTGAATATTATTTTCAATGGTGTGGACAAGAACATGTTTAGATTGAATAACACGTGTATTGAAGTCAAAAAAGCATGTGATATTCTCAAAACTCCACATGAAGGCACATCAAGGTTCGCATGTCAAGGTTGTAGCTCCTCGCTACAAAATTTGAGAATTCGAGAATGAATGAAGATGAATCCATATCTGACTTCAACATCAGGCTGTGTGACATTGCTAACACTTCTTTTGCCTTAAGAGAAACGATGGATGAAGAAAAATTGGCTAGGAAAATTCTCAGATCACTATCTAAGAAGTTTGATATGAAGGTTATAAGTATTGAAGAAGCCAAATACCTAAGCAACATCACAATCGATAAACTCATTTGTTCTCTATAAACCTTTAAGACGACTATAAATGGAACATCAGAAAAGAAGAACAAAAGTATAGATTTGGTTTCCAACACTTAAGAGGATTAAGATCAAGGTAAATAAAGTCTATCAGATTTATAGCTCATGTTGAGATAAAGTTTAATAAAGCTTTAAGAAGGCTGGAGAGAAAATAGAGAACAAATTTCCAAGATAAGGTGTCATACATTAGTCCATAGATAAAGAGCAGAGATGAAAACAAACCTAACAGAGGCAAATAAGCACAATGTTATGAATGTAAATGGTTTGGTCGCACTATATCTGAATATCCTACTTTTTTAAAGAAACAGAAAAAGAGGATGTCGATCACTAGGTCTGGTTCTAATGATGAAAGTGAAAGAGAAATATATAATAAGGTGATGACTTTCATTAGAAAATATGAATCTGGTAGTGAGTCAAGTGGTGAAGATATCCCAAAAGAAGAACTAGCTGCAACTTACAGACTTTCGTATGCCAAGTAGGAGGAAGCTTGCGTAGTTGGAGAGAAACAAAAGAAAACTATACGTACTCTTATTAAAGAAAAATAGAAACTTGGCTCAACCATTGCAGGTCTAGAAGAGGAAGTAAATTTTTTGAATTCCAAGCTTGAAAACATGGCAAAATATGTTGAATAATGATTTTGATATATTAGATGAAATCTTGGAAGTTTGGGAGAAGTATAGGAATATGAAGGATATAGGGTTTGACTACAATTTCATGAACAAAAAGAGCAAAATTCCCATTAAGAAGTTTGTTTCTCCTGAGAAGAAAATTGAGTTTCTGATGAAGGACTACATGTCTCACCATTTTGATCATCATGTGTAGCCTCATAATAGAGGAAACAAGAACTCATCTTGGAGGTGTCCCCACTTTGGAAGATACAATCATATAATACCCTTTTGTTATAGACTGTATGGATATCCTCATCCCTATATTCAGCCAAGGCTCAATAGGAAGAAAGGGGAGAAAGTGTGGAAACCCAAAGAAACTGTCACTTGTCTCATAGCTCATACATCTCTTAGAGTTTCCTCAAGAGAAAATTAGTATTTTTATAGTAGATGTTCAAGGCACGTGACTAGAGAAAGAAACTATCTTGAAGTTCAAGTTTCCCTTGTCTTAATGACATGTTGTTGGTAAAAGTATTGACTACTAACTTGATCAGCATCAAGCAAC